CAGAAGTGTATCTTGAAAGAAGACAATGCATGTAACAGGCAGAACTTGACACGGTGTCCCAGAACATCAATAACCAACGCACCCAGGGTACCTTGGACGTTGTATGTGGACGTGGAAATTCCATGAGCAAACGTCAATATGTGACGAGGTCAGAGTGAGAATGTGTTGTGTCTCAAGGCATTTTGCAAGGAATTTAGGGATTTTACCATCTATGATCCATCATCAGAAGACTTAGGGAATCTAGAGAAATCTCTGCATGCAAGGGGAAAGGCACTGCATTAAAACCAACATGACCATATCAGGGATATTACTACATGGGCTCAGGAACCCTTCAGAAAACCACTGTCAGTAAACACTTTGCTGCATCTACAAATGCAAGTTACAACTCTACCATGCAAAGTGAAAGCCATATATCAACAACATACAGAAACACCATCGACTTCTCTGGAGCTTACACAGAGTGGTAACGTGCTGTGGACTGACGAGTCCATCATGGACGTTGTGTCCTCAGGGTTAAAGAAGAAAAGCACCATCCAGATTGTTACCAGCTCAAAGTTCAAAGTCAGCATCTGTGATGGTAATGGGGGAGTGTTACTCTGAAATCTATGAAGGCACCATGAATGCTGAAAGGTACATACAGGTTTTGGAGCAACATATGCTGCCATCCAGATGACGTCATTTTTAAGGGACATCCCTGCTTATTCCAGTACGACAAAGCCAATCCACATTCTGCACGTTTCAACAGTGTAGCTTTTTAGTAAAAGAGCGCCAGTACTAGACTGGCCTACCTGCAGTCCAGACCGGTCTCACATTAAAAATGTGTGGCGCATTATGAAGCACAAAATCTGGCAACTGAGACCCTGCACCGCTGAGACACTGAAGTTGTATTTCAAGCAAGAATGGAAAATAATTTCTCTCTTAAAACTATAACAATTACTGTCCTCAGGTCCCAAACACTTACTGAGTGTTGTTAAAGGGAAAAGTGATGCCACACAGTGGCAAACATGCCCCTGTCCAAACTTTTTTAATGTGTTGCAGACATCAAATTCAGAATTCAGAGTGTATATGCACACAAAAAAACAATAAAGTTTATCAGTTTGAATATTAAACATCTTGTCTTTGTACTGTGCTCAACTGACTGTATGTCAAAAAGTTTTGAAAATCATTGCATTCTGTTTTTATTGATGATTTTTACACAGCGTCCAAGCATTTATTAGAATTACTGTTGTAGACTAAGTACAACTTACCTGATACTTCTTGCGTAATCTCCCCATGATAAAAGACAAAGTAAAATTAAAACTGAGATCACCAGCAGCAAAAAAAAATGTCTTGACTTGAGGAGTGCCATCCCTGAGACTGAGTGTTTGTTTTCCCTCCTGGTTTTTTCACCGAAGTGGAAAAGGCACCTGCAGCATCTACATCTTGTCACAAGACGTTACTGGGCAGGGCCACGGCATAGTTTACTGACAGAGATACGTTACAAAACCAGAACTACTGTCACACAACCCGTCACACAGCTTCACTTTGGTACAATATCTGGTTTATTAAACAACAGAGGGGAAGTTTTGCACAAGAGATTTTACAGTATCTCTTTGTCATTTCATCCTTTCAGAATTTTGCGTCAAAATTTTTCACAATATGGCCCAAAATGTGTTTCATGCAACTCCACTGGATTGAATAGGCACTATCTTGGTGTATTAATTAAATCTATGGCTGAGCTGAGCGGCCTTTCTGGGGGCCTAAAACAAAGGAGAAAGGAAGTTTCCCTTTAAAATGTCTGATTAAAGTCTTTATTCTTAATTCAGTTTGTAAATCCAGTTATTTAGTTCCGCATTTTCAAATACATTTAAAATTAAATTTGATGAAATAATTGACTGTTTTATGCTGTTTTTGAAACTCTACTTTGCTCAGTCAAACTGTTGCTCATCTTGAAGTGCAGGATCCAACTGAGTTAATGACTTTGGGTTTTCATTTGGTGATGGTGAATGCACTGAAAGGTATCAATCCAGATACAGCAACAGCAATCAAATCCTAGTTTTAGAAATGTATATGTTTTTTTAATCATTAAATGGAAGACTTTACATCTCCAGTGTTAAGTTTAGTGTCTTAGGTGTAGGCTAAATATATCATATCCCCTGCAGACATCAGTAGCATTTCGTGCTAAAGACAATAATGTTTGTGTTAAAGTTCATGGCAATCCATTCAATACTTGTTGAGACATTTCAATCAAAACCACAAATGTTAAACTGCTGATCAAAGTCATCAGGTTTCATCATCTGGGAACCATGAACATCTGATTTATGAGTAATAGTTGTTGAGACATTTCAGTCTGTACCAAAGTGGTGGATCAACCATCAGACCATCACATGTCAGATTATTCTTTAAATCCATGTCATGAAAATGTCATCAGATATATTGGAGCTGATTGTGTTTACTGTAATTGTTGACTGTGGTTGGCTGTGGATAAAGTAGCTTTATAAATAGGGACTTCTTCAGATTATCCAGTGCCATACAAGATTATTATCGTAACCACAGGACATGCTGTCTCAGACCAGAAACCAACAGATCAACACCAACTGCATTCCATCAAAGTGAAAACACGTCTAAACGAGACAACATGAAACCATCCTACAACAGACAAATCTGCTGCTTTCTTCAAACTCATTGTTGATTGTTTGTTTAACAAACACGGTTGCACATTTGTTACTCATACAATAAAAGAAGACCAGAATTACCACCTTTTGGTTGTTTGCCTCCACCAACCAGTCAAGTTCCAGTTATCACCCATGTTTGTCCAGACTCATTTGTGGTGAAGGCTTTGAGGTGTTAAGTATATGTATAAAAGGTGTATGCTTCACACACATCTTCAACTGGGCAGCACAGATCTGTACAGTTTCAAAGTGAACACCCGTGTTTAGAATATATGCAGTTCACATAATCCAACTAAAATTAATATACATTATATATACCTACAACACTTGAAGATCCAATTATTACTGATAGTGTTTGTCATCCAAGCGAGACAATGAAAACTAAAGCAATGGTCAAAGTTGTCATATTGAAATGTAAGGTGTGTCGATAGATTCACGTCACCAACACTATTACAAGGAAATGTTCCACCTTAAAAGCTACCAGCAGTTGGCCCAGTTCATGAAATATTTTTTTTTCAGTGTACAGCTGCTTATTTTATACTGTTAAACAGATGCACAAAATGTCCAGCAATGTTAACTTATAGAGTTAAGAAGGCATTTTTTATTTCATCTTGACTTGAAAATATAAAGAAAGTATATGATTTAATGAAGCAAACACACACTAGTACATTATATATATTGTATATGAATGCTTGCATTATTCCCAGAATGTGTATGATAACAACTAACATAAAAGCTAACAGAGACCAAGTGCAATAAATGTATCATAATAAATGTAAATGTATCAGACACTTTCACATATATTATCATATTCTTACTTAAGAACTCACTATACAGATGGGTTTCTGGGCAAAGCCATTGTGAAATATGCACACATGTGGGGGGTAACAAAAAATCATTCAAGTAACGTGAAAATGTTCAATACCGAGAAAGCTCTGTTTCAATGCACAGTACAGAATTAGCTATATCAATAGCTAGCATAAATCCTGAAAATCCAATTTCTTTGCAATTAAATATCTGGCATATAACTGGTATATTTTGATAGTAAGCAGTGGCATACAATGGTACACAGTTAGCTTACTTGCTAACATTGCTATTATCAAAAATGATGAGGCTTTGTCCTCGTCCATGCTAACAGCGAGAATTTCATAAATGCTAACTTTTCTTGTTTGCAGGTGTTTCAGTGGTCTGAATCCAAGAGATAAACACATATATTTTCTCCCTAACTGTGGCAGATAACTTTGTGTAGTCTCAATTAGCATTAGATGGAATACAAGTTAGCTAGCTAGAGCAAATAGAATGAATGGTGTGTAAATGTAACTCTTAAAAGTTATGCAGGATTTATACTTATGCGTTGAATCGCTGTAGACTGACGTGCACCTCCCCAGAAATGTGGAAACAAAGCTTTTATTTACTTAGATAAGAAACAATAAATTGTGAAGACAATAAAGCCTCCACAAAAATAGCATTTTAAGTCTTTTTTTTTTTTAAAGATTTTTTTTTGGTGATTTTAGCCTTTAACTGATAGGACAGACAAGCGTGGGGGGGGGGATGGGGGGGGGTTACGGCAGTTACAGCACTTATGAGCGACAGACAACACAATGCAATCCGAAGATGACAAATTTATCCTGACAATATTTGATTTTGAAGAATTATACAATACACGCACAACTCAGTACTAGTTTCATGTAAGCCACTGTCTCTACTGTCCTTGGGGGAAACACTAGATTCAATGGGAGATGACAGGAGGTGTGTGTCGCCCGGTTGCGCACGCACCCCCGCTACATAGGCGCTCCTTGCTGGGGTTTTTTTTTTGTCTAGCGCGCATTGAATAAGCGCTTCCAGCATTTCAAGCGTCTTTGAAGCGTCCGCGTTTCTGCGTCTCATTTCTGTGTGATCGCCCCCTAAGCCACCGATGCCCCAGCATTTTAAGTCTTGTGTGTGATCCTGGCTTCATATGAGCAGAGGAAAAGTCCACTTACCACTAGGCTAATTCATACACTGTAAAATGCCATAGGCTTGTGCTAATAACGTTAGCATGTTGTATTTGTGGGGAAAATGTGTCCAGATAAAGACAAGTGTTTGTCTGTGAATGCTGCGAGTTATAGTGAAGCTGATTTGTGTACTTGTGTTTGAAATTGTCTCTATTAAGCCATGTTTTGTGTGTGTTTAATGTGTGTTTAATGTGTGTTTAACATGTGTTTTGAATCAACTAAACTTTACAGCACTTCACAGAAACCTCACGGCCAAGTAGTGTTGGAGGTGTAACTGCAGAGTGACACAGACACACCACCGCACAAGTATAAATGCTCACACTGGTGTAGGCCAAATGTGTAGGCTACGGCGTAGGGACTGCATAGAGCTGATGCACAAGTATAAATCCCGCTTCAGTGGTTCAGGCAAGTTGTTTGTTTTCTAAATGCTGCCATAAGGTCCATAATCATGACACTGTGGCAGTGAGGTTTGTACTGTGCTGATGATTTTTTGTAAACAGGAAACTCGTGTATAATCTACTTACGTCACAGTATATCGAATGTTATTCAGTCAAAGATGCTCTATAACGAAAGACGACAAGCATTATCAGTGCTACGAAACGGTACTTGTAGTCTCTCCCCTGTATCCCCTACCTCATTTTGAAATGTTGTGAAAGTCATGTGGATGGATGAAAGCAGACTCAAAACAATACAACAGTAGATACAGCCTTGAGTGATTTCTGCCAGAAAGGGATTTTTTGTCATATTTAGGGGCAAGAAATCATGGGTTATGTTAAAATGAATAATATTTCTGCCAGGCAAACTTCTCCCATGTGCCCACGTGACACAAATACAAACATCGCCTAACTTTTAAAGTGTGCCATCTACTTCATGAACCGTCTCTGATTTAGTGTTAATACCCTATGGGTATGTCCTTTCTCTTATTCATTGGCTTTCATTTCTATTATTTGTTACTGTTTATTTGGTACTTTGATATTAATATTTTGATATCTCAGGATGACTCACCACCTAAGATGAAACTTCAATTTAAACTATTTGCTACAATTCGCTGAAACTGATGCAGGCTGACACAAAAGCCCTTCTATAAATCCGACCTTCAGTAAGATTATAATGTCCTTTTTTTTTTTTTTAATGTTAAACCAGTTGTGTTAAATCCTGGAGGCAGTAGTTTGTCATGCTGTTAAACCATGTGTGCAGAGAGGTGTTACTTGAATTTTATCCACCACAGTGAGGGTCAAATAAGAATATCTACGAAAGACTTACTAAGGTGTAGAAACACCAAAGGAAGGCAAAACTGTCAGTCACATATTGTCTCACATGGCTGGGTAAACAAGAATAACATTTTTAAATATGCAGTTTATAAAATGACCTAGATTCTTGATGCCATCCTCAGTGTATCAGTATCGGTGTTACTTCGGCTTTTCTGTCCCTTTTCCTGAGTCCGGTCCTTGATAAAGCCACAGTATTTTGCTGTCATGTAGTTTTTTCCACATCTTCATCTCCAGGATATAGTCGTGATTGGAGTAGAAAACAATATGGGTTTTAATATTTCTCTGAAAGTAGTAGTTATTGTATTTCTTGTAGTCCTCAGTTATGAATCCATATGCACTCACCTGAGAACAACAAAAACAGAGATCAGGGATGACTGAGAAAAACACACACCAAGACACGATTTGTGAAAAGAAAAGTTCTGCATTTTTATAAATACTCTTTTTAAGTTTCATGTTGAGAACATCAATCTCATTGTCAACAAGAAAGCAAATTTGTGCATTTCCCTGAGTGCGGAACTTTTCTTTAAAGAACTTATAACCATAAATATTTAGAGTTAATAAATTATCTCCTACTGCCAACACAGTCTCACAGAAACGCATGAGATGGACATGACTGACTTCTGGTAATGGCGGTGCGATGCGTAGTTGTGGTTACACCTGCTCTGTTGCTAAATCTGATATTAAAACTACTTAAACAATCTCATTCAGCATAAAAAGTGCCACAAAAGGTGTGTGTCAACTTGCTACAGGTGAATATGCCGAAGAAAGGAAGCAAAGACCAAAATAAGACAACTGAAGGAGGTTTTAAGGAAGACAATGTGTCGGGCTCGGATTTGGAAGATAGAAGCAGTGCAAGCCCTTTACAGACAGGTAACACTGAAGACGCAAAGAGCATGGAAAGTCCCTCATTTTCGGACATTACCAAGGCCATACAATCCTTCACACAAGATTTTCATACTGAAAGTGATGGTGTATTATCAGCAAATAAAAATGTTCAAACTGACAGTAAAGAATGCAGTGGGCGCATTGCAGGGGCTGAACAACACATATACACCGCCAAAGATGACATCAATACACTGCAAGGCGTTGTAAAAAGACTGAGATGGACATGACCTCTTCACAGCATTGCCAGGTGTACGATAATTATTGTATTTGTACGATAATTTGGCCCTCTGTACAATGTATGATCAATAATCCCAAAAAAGGCCAAATGTACGATAATTGGACCATTTCGTGAATGTGTCGTTGTAAACAGTATGCCAGAGTTTTTTTGTGAACCCTGAAGGCATCTGTTCCCATGTGACATGTTTCCAGCCAATCGCGCTTTGCTTAGCATGAGATACGGGTGACGTTTGTCTCAGAACAATGAGCACGATTGGCTGAATGGTCAGCTGCGCCCGCCCCACGAGACGCTAGACTAGACAAGACTAAGTGAAGCCAGATTACTCTTTATTTTCTTGTCAGTTATCATGACTACGGTTTCTCTATGACAAAAAAGTATACCAAAAAAGTAAACACTAGAGTGACTATATTTGCCTATAGCACATCAGTAGGCTTGTTATTTTGGTTATGACGGGTGTACGATAATTTCCCTCAAAATACGAATTTTGAGTCTCTGGTATGATAATCCTACATTTCCCACCTGCCAACGCTGCCTCTTCACAACATATCACGTGGTGGACACAAAATGTTTTAAAAATATGATTTGGCAACACACACACAAAAAAAAATTAAACGCAAAGGTAACATCTGGTGCAAACAATCGCTGTTTCAAAATTGACATTAATGTGTTTAACATGGGGAAATGGTCGCCGTGAGGTTACGGGTAAAAAAAAAAGATGTGGTTTTGATTTTTTGCGGAACGTAAGTGGTGTAAACTTACGCACTTTGTGTCATTAGGTAAAGTACCTATGTAAAGTACTTTGCATAATTACGTAAAGTAGATAAGAGTCACATCACTACATTGACTTCTGGTTTCACATTTCTCCTGGTCAAAAGTCCATGTTTGTGTGACCAATCCACCACACCGTCGGCCCATGATCACAGACCTTTTTGCTCTTTATCCTAATTCATGTGTCCACCAAGACAAAAGATCTTCACTGACGTTGCATTGGCAATGTTTTTGTGCCCACCATCACGTAATATGTTGCAGATTTTGTGTCTATTTCACGTATATTTATTAGACCGGGCTGATACTGAATGTTTGAGGCATGAACTACAGTATAGATGACGTGGAGAAGTTAAAGTAATATTAACTCACAGTGTCACAGGTTTGCAGAGCCAGGAAGAGAGTAAATGCCCCATTGGTTGGTCTGACTATTGCCCAGTGTGAACTATTCAGAGAACGAGACTTTAAGAACCTGTGGGTAATAAACAGAGTCATATGAACTTAAATATCAACAGTCTTCAAGTCATCAAGTCTTTCACATATAAGATGAGACAAACAAGTGGAATCTGGTGTGCAGGAGTCGAGCAGACCATCTACAGTCTACTCTGATTAAATAGCAGGCTCCAACTTCAGCATGTTTGCATTTGGGTCACCAGACTAGTTCTTTAACATTTAGTTTTGGATTATTACAGAAAATAAGCTCTGTGCCAAAGAAAAGTTTATGATACTTACACATTTGGTTCAGCAAGATAATCTACACAAATAAACACCACTCATGATTTTTGAAGCATAAATTCAAGCGCCAGAAGTAAAAAACTAACTTTAGGCTACAAATGAACTACATCACTGTTGCATGACTTCAGCAGCACTTACAGCAGCAACGCAGACCTCCAGTAATTATGTCTATTTATTTTGTGTATGTTTATTTATCTGAGAATTCAACAACCTGGAACTGATCATTCATAATTATAGCATCTCTTCCTTTAACATTTTATTTTTCCTACTCCCACCTGTACGCTGCCTCAGTGACAACAAGTCTCAACGTGCTGATTTTACACTTTTAGTTTTTGTGCAGGTTAAATAAGATAAAGCATCTTAGCAGTGTTGTCACGACACCCGCATTTCTAACTTTGATGCAATACCTTGAAAATATCAATATGTGATACCATTTATGATACCATGGGGAAAACTGACATTAAGGAGATACAAGATGAAAAGATAAATATAACATGACTATATTATGACGACTACAACTTTCCTTGTCTTGGTTAGTAGCATGGTAAAGCAGAATGACTGTTGTAAACATTAACAATAATGTGGTATTTATACTTTTGCGTCGAATCGATGCCATAACTATGGCGTAGGCTTTGCATCGACATAGAGCCTACGCCATAGCCTGACATGCACTTCCTCAGAAATGTAACTACACATCACACCTCCTGTCTATTTCTGTAAGCTGAAACCATTTCCCTCAGTGGAAACAAAGCTTTTATTTACTTTAATTTCACAGACAAGAAACAATAAATTGTGAAGACAATAAAACCTCCACAAAAATAGCATTTTAAGTCTGTTAATTTATACAATGTAAAATGCCATAGATTTGTGCTAATAATGTTAGCATGTTGTATTTGTGGGGAAAATGTGTCCAGATAAAGACAAGTGTTTGTCTGTGAATGCTGTGAGTTATAGTGAAGCTGATTTGTGTACTTGTGTTTGAAACTGTCTCTATTAAGCCATGTTTAACGTGTGTTTAATGTGTGTTTTGAATCAACTAAACTTTACAGCACTTCACAGAAACCTCTGCCACTGACTAGTGTTTTGGAGGTGTAACTGCAGAGAGACACAGATACACCTGCACAAGTAAAAAAAAATTCATACAGAGTAAAAATCCACCTGAAGTGTTCCTGTTCGGTGTGATGACATTTAATGTCCCAGTACCTTGACAACCTCTGTAGTCTCATGAAGCCACTTGTTAGCAACCGCCTTTTTGAAGACAAATAAAAGCTTCAAAGCGTATTACATTCCACCACTGGTTATTACTAGAGCTGGGTAGGATTGTGAGAGGACCTGTTTTTGACGTATCTGAGGAAATCCTGGTGCAGAACATAGAAGCGGGACTCGTCGTACTGCCCAGAGTAGTATGTCCTTGGCCTGTGGGGTAAAATAAAACAGTCAGTGGGGATAAGGAAAGAATGGTGCAAAGCTGGCTTTTTTTTATCTCCTGTCTGTACGGTGCAGATAATACATTCGGCTGGAGCTTCAACCAAAATCATACATTATAAGGGTTTCCCTTCTAATAGGATTAAACTGCCTGATTTTTTAAGTAAGCTTTGTGACGTCCTGTCTAAGCAACAAAGGAGCATATAGTGAATGTTTAATATGACTTGTAACCTCCACAAAATGTACCAACTGATGCCCTTTTTCATTATTTTAGTAACTCATGAGTCAGATTTGATTAAAGTCAAACTGTCTCCATAAACATGGTGACCTGATGACACATTTCCAGGCCCAATCTGATATGTTCCAGCACTGGATATACTGTGTAAATGTTTTAGTGTTTGTGTGTTCATGTTACCTTCTACTAATAATAATATTTAGACAGTTGATACTCACCTCCTGTTTTTATATGAGCCATTAGCAATAATTTCTCCTCTCAGAAGACCGCCGAGCCAATTGTAATCCCTCATCCCCTCAGGTATCATCACGTATTTTATACCCTGCCAAAAGGAAGAGGATGACAGGTGAGTGTGTATGTGTGGAGTATAAATTAGAAATTTCGATATTACACATTACATTCAAGCTTTAATACCTCATCATGAGGGGCGGCTTTGTATCCGTACTTGCTGAAAAAATATGGTGACGCACTGATGGAGTGTGCTGTGTGAACATACACAGAAGTTCTGTTTCCCACATCCTCCTCATAACCTTCGGTGACTGCGCCGTTCATCCTGCCGCACAAAGAGATCCAAATGTGACAGTGACCATCACAAATTAATTTTAATTAGCAGAGACTAAATTGTGATACCCACAAAGAATCTGAATCAAGTTTACTGTAAGCTCAAGCATGACAGCGGCTGTCAGTAGCTCTCAGTTTACTTACTTACTTACTCAGTTTACTACATGCAAAAGGCAAATAGGTAAAAATAAATTCATTGAAAGTGACATAAATCTGTGTAATGCAAAAGCATAGTCATTGTGATAACTGCACAGAAACCTAAAGGCTGTTTAACAAAACAAACGAAGTAAAAGTTCATGAGTGTGAAGACCTGTGGGGAAAAAACTCTTGTTTTAGCTCACAGTCATCCGTCTGAAATGCCTGCTGAAGGAGAGGTCACATTATTTGGTGGCTGGGCAGAAGGGTCTTTGATGATCTGCTTTGTAGTTCAAAAGGTGGGAACACCCTGGACAGGCAGGGTGGCACGGACTCTCTATTCAGTTGAGTTATGATTGTGTTATGTCTTTGCTGCATTTGGGGGCTGGTCCAAATGAGGTCGTAAGAGTTGAGCAGATGACAGAATAACTGTTGTGTAGAACTGGATGAACCGCTCTAGGTTGGTTTAACAACATTGAATGTGTGTAGGAAAGCAAGTCATCACTTTGAGTGGCTGTGAGGATGGTCGGATGTACTGCCAAATTCAGGGAAACAACATTAGAGGCAGCTTTTGGTAGTAAAATGAACATTACGTATACAGGCAACAGCTCTGGTGGACATTCCTGCAGTCAGCCTGCCAATGGCACACCTCCTCCTCAAAATTTGGGGCATCTGTTGCATTGCGTTGTGTGATCAAACTGCACATAATAGAGCGGCCTTTTATTGTGACCTCCCAAGGTGCACCTGTGTGGCAATGATGCTGTTTAATCAGCATCTTGATACGACACACCTGTCAGGTGGCCAGATTATTTTGAAAAAGAAGAAGTGATCATCAGGGCTGCCCCCTAGTGGTCCAGCAGAAAGGTCATAAGTCAGCAAGATTTCATCAGTCGCTTCGGTGCAGAATCCTATATGACTGGACCATGTTGGATTTTAATTTGAAAGGACAGACACAGGAAGAGGCCACACTCAGCAGGCAGACAAGAGTCAGGTTACAGACCAATCACAGCCAACAGATATCTTTCCCTTCTTCTGTAAATATTCAGTCTGATAATTACGGAAAAGTTGATCATGTTAGTGCAGGGCTACCCAGAGCTTTGCATCTGTCCCACAGACGACAGGCCTACACACTTATAAACAGCAACTGGAAGAAGATCAGCTCTGCACTCAGGGTTTCAGGTAAATAGGCAAAATAACACTTGTTAAGGTTGCTGAGCAACCCTAGATGAAACCAGCCACCATGCTCTTGAAGGCTGGCACAAAAAAAAGCACAAGAGTAGCACTTAGCGTCCGACCTGGTGTTTTCCTGGTGGTTAAATATGCAGCATGTGTACACTCCCTAATTTCCAGGACTGATACCTGCGGTTATTCCACAGGCTAGTTAATAACATGTCGGGCAGGAAATCCAAAGTGTGGGATCATTTTGAGAAGGTGAAGGACGAACCCAAGGTGATATGTAAACTCATCTTCATTGGTCGACTACAAACATGACGTATCATCTGAAACATGGAAGTAGCTACATGCCCAAAATATGTAATTTAATAATTAAATTAATATCATAAACATGTGGGTGACTAGTCGACTAATGGCCCTAAATGACGACTAGATTGACTAAGAATATTCTTAGTCGAGGGCAGCCCCAGTAATCACTAACCTGGATTTTAACAAATTTGCTACCAAAATTTAAGATAAATTCATCTTTGAGTGCATAAAAAGTCTGAGATCTTTAACTTACCCTGTAGTTAAAAACAAAAGTGTTGCATTTTATATTAAATTGCTGAGCTTTCAGTCTATTCGACCTTTGAAGGTTGAATAGACTGAAAGTGAGACACTGCATAGATGTAAGTGTGCGGAAATCTTCTTCTACCGTTAAAATCCAAGTTGAATTGCAAGTCATTTTTTATTTTGTCAAAGTTGTATCAAAGTTTTGACTCGAGTCTGACTTGAGTCTAAAGCCTCGTTTCCACCGAGCAGTACGGTACGGTTCAGTTCGGGACACTTTTTTTCCGTTTCCACTGTGAAAAGTTGTGGATGGTACCAATGGAACCGTTCCGTACCGTCCCCATTTTTGGTCCCCCCTCTGTTGGGGTACCTAGCACACAGATCTGGTACTAAAAGGTGGAGCTGTGAACACTGCAGTCTGATTGGTCAATAGAGGACGGTCACTCTGCTCAGGGCTGAGTTGTGGCTGGTTTTGAGGCTCATGTAACCACTGTTCATACTGTGGAGAGTTTTATTAGTAAACTGTAGCTATAAAATGAAAGGATGTTTTGCTGCCTCTCACAGCAGCTGGAGTCCGAGAAAAATAATTCACTGGGCCGACTGCCGGCGACTTTTAAGGTGGAACGTTAACTTGTAATGTCACTCAATGCATGAGGTGACGACGTGAATCCATCAACACACCTTAAATTTCACTGTGACAACTTTGACCATCACTTTAGTTTTTATATGACAAACACTTTTAGTAATGAGTGGATCTTCAAGTGTTTATATATATTTTGACCAGGATATGTGAACTGCATATATTCTAATCCTCACTCAGAGAAAAAAAAAGCATCACAGAGCGTTGTTCCTGTGGGCTCCAGCAACACTAAACCCCTGAGCTTGCCTGGGAAGGACTAAATGTACAAACCTGCTATTTTTAAATATCCAATGGAGAGAGACTCTCACTGCAGCCTGTTTTATTTTGTTCTGAATATGTCGGCGTGCAGCCTCGTTCTGTGGATGATAAACGAGGTGCAGACTGATAAACGAGGAAATACAGTAGGTGCTGGACGGAGCAGTGAGTGACAACAACCCCGCCCACGTTTAAGAGTACTGTTTGTGGTGGAAACACTAGGGTCTAGATACCATGTCTGAAGGGTTACTGTTGGTTCCAAAGGTACCATACTGAAAGTGTTTGGTGGAAACAGGGCTTAAGTGAACAAATTTGTGACTGGAGTCTGACTTGAGTCTACGCAGTGTGACTCAAGTCCACACCTCTGCGATTAAGTGTTTGTTTAAGACCTGTCAGCAGTTCCCAGAAGTCATTTCTCAATGTCTTCAGCCTCTAGCTCTGACAGAACAGGGGACTTTTATCCTGAGAACAGACGAGTAACACCAGGGATACTTTGTCACTCTTTCTCAGAGCAGATGTTTTGACATGTCATGGGAAAAAAGCATGTTTAAACAATGACATCAACTATCTATTGACACATTCCATTTAAACATGACAGTTTGGGACCTGATGACTAACTGACATCCTGGAGTCAGTATTTTTGTTCCTTGTATACTTTTCATTGTATGAAGAGTCAAACTATTTTTCCAGCAGAAATTCCTCATGATAATATCAGTGTGCCTTGGCTGAGTGCTGAACATGAGCTAAACAGAGCTGCTGAGCCTAAAACTGTGTCAACAAATAGCCAGATTATTTGATGATGCAATAAGTGATAAGAACTATAGCTAAAAGCCTCAGGCTCATAGCAAAAATTCCTACTGATATAATAAGTTAAACAAATACAGCATGGACCAGGACAGAGGCAGAAAATGGATAGATGGATCAACCAAGTAAAAATAATTAATCACTAAAGTTCATTGAGGTTTTCATTGAAATCAACACTTGCCCATGATGAGCCAATGAGCTTCCTGCTACTATAGTTAGCAGCAGAGACAGTGTTTGCTGCAGGTATCATGGTGCTGACTGAAACTCCACTAAAAAGGATCTGACAGCTTCCAACATGCACAATCCAGTGACGCAACAATCCAACTTAATTACAGATAATAACGTCTCCCTACAGCCTGTAATGACACACAGGAATATTTTAATACCTCAAAAAGTCTCTTTTTAAGTGGAAGTTATGCTTCTTTCCAGGTCATGTGTTTTTCAGGTTGACTTGACTTTGTTTTTCTTAATGTTCTGTGGCTGTTTTTATATGCAGCAACAATGTCACTATGGTACAAGCAATCCTCTTTAAGGGTCCATTGTGGCGCTGATGTTAGTTTTAGATTCACAGCTTCTGATGAGAAGGTTAAAGGGAACTTAACTTCAATAATATTAACAATTTCACTGCTTTTGTTGCCATCCATTCTGTGATCACATTAGATCAAGTCTTGATCAACAGCCACTATACTTACTGTTTACAACGATCCCTGTGAAGTCATACAGGAGACGACCCATGTAGCAGCTGGTTAAAGCAGCATTGAGGATGAAAATATGCGAGCCTATTGGTGAGTGGAGGAGAAGGTGTCGAGTTCATACGGCTTTTTTCTGCACACTAATGCAGGCTACAAAGTGAGTGTTTGAGCTTCAAACTGTGGACTGTAAACCGTAGACGCAGTTTCAAGGCAGGATTTGGAAAGAGTGGATAAATCTGTCATGGTGCAGTATGCTTCTGTCAGCTGTCTGTTTTTAGTCAGCAGGCATCTGTTGATTCTAACTATTATAATCATCATTAGTGTAATTATACTTACCTCACCTCAAAATTATGTTTGATCAATATTAGAGAACACACCTAGCTATGAAGCCAGCAATTATGTCTATTTATTTTGTGTATGTTCACTTATCTGAGCATTCAACAACCTGGAACTGATTATTTATAATTATAGCATCTCTTCCTTTAACATTTGATTTACCTACTACTACCACCTGTACGCTGCCTCAGTGACAACAAGACTCAATGTGTTGATTTTACACTTTAGTTTTTGTGCAGGTTAAATAAGATAAAGCATCTTAGCAGTGTTGTCACAACACCCGCATTTCTAACTTTGATACCTTGAAAAATATTGATATGCAATGCCCTTTATGATACCATGGGGAAAAATGACATTAAGGAGATACAAGTTAAAAAAATAATAATAAAAAGATAAATATAGCGAGACTATAATATGACAACGACAACTTTCCTTTTCTTGGTTAGTCTATAAATCAGTTTAAAGACTTAAGTTTGTATAAATAAAAAAGTGGAAGCTCTCTGAGGCCGCTCTCACCTGTTGGACCTGTGGACCTTGTCATTTTCTTAATTAATTATGTCTCGGTTAGTTGTTCCTAAGAACAGCAGGGCAGCAAAGCAATATATTTTTTTTACCAACTGTCACAAAGGAAAAATAATTTAAACATCCTGGAGTTGCTCCCTTATTGACTCACGGTGAACAAACTCATCCCTGCCACCCATGATGTTATTATTCACAGACCTCGACATACATGCAGTTGAAGAGTTTGTTTTTCATAGCTGGAATAAAGTCAACAAGTCCTCCTCATACACTTCCAGGTAAATAGAGTTAGCTGACGAATAAAGCAAATAGTTTAAAAGAATGTTTGTTCTCCACTGTTTAAAATGACTGAGAAATATTTAAGCAAACAGCAGAAGAAGATGTGAGGCCTTGTGACCAACTGTTGGCAGGTTATATCCGCCACCTCTGACAGGTGTTAAGCAAAGACATTTTAACTGACACACAGATTTATAATCTTCTCCATGAATTACGTCAAGTTTATTTGAAACCTTATTGCCCGTAAGATTGGGCCCCACCAGGTGTCTTTCTTACCGGAAAACGTAGTCATGAGCATCGATCTCTTTCCCCATCCTGGAGCCGTTGAGGATCCCCCCAGTGCCCACCACAGCACAGCGCACACACTCGCCGCTGCCTGGCTTTGGAAGGAGCAGTGGCTCTTTTGGCTTTGGGATCAACTTCACAGCGCTCATCACCTCTGCAGAAACAAAAAACATACATCCATATTGTGTTTCAAAATGCAGAACAGTTCACAACAAGAACATTTTCTGCAAGCAGAACTCACAAGCATATTGCTAATGGCGTAGGTGGTTGCTATTGTGTGATTATTGAAGCAGCTAGAATTAATATTTTCATAGCAACAGTGGATTAAATTGGAAATGTGAAAGTAGTCGATCAAAGTGACAAACCACCAGAGAATTATCACCTCAGTCTGCAGCTCCCCTCGACTTTACAGAGTTTTAGAGTTTCAGTTTATTGTTCAGCTGCCCGACCGCAGCTCTACTGTTTGGGTTCACTTTCATGGTGTATTCGGCCGCAGCAGGCAACTGTTTTGGTAAGAAAACTATAAAAAAAATCTACTGTACACTTCCTGCTCAGCAGCAAATGGCAGTTAGCACCTAGCTGGTGAACATAGTGGAGCATTTATCAGCTAAAGGTATTTTTCTCAGGAGCTGGTGGAGACCAAAACCAGAGCTAAAAGAGAGTCAATATCAGACTGAATTTCATACTTGGAGCTTACTTGAATAAGTAAACACTGACCAACAGGACCAGACTGGCCAACCTGTATGCTCTCACTCAGTGGATTGATGATTTGACAGGAGGCCTTGTGGTTGACAACACTTGAACGGTTTCCTCCAGTTTGTTTTGCTGTCGAAGCTAACATTAGCTAATGCGCTAAAAAGTTAGCATTACAGAGAAATCCAATATTCCTCTAATACCTCCCCAGTTTCTGATGAGGTGGACATGATAACCCTGAACACACATAACATTCATCCCTACAACAGGAAATACTTTTTCCCTAACCTGATATGAAGTGTGCGCTGCACATGTGAGCATTTTTGATGATCACCTCCGTCCAGTCCTTCGGTCTTATCACATTTAACCATAGTTGTCTTTGTTTTTGTTGACGGGCAGTGGCGGCTGGTATGTGATAAAATTTAAGTTTTGAGCCATGACTCCTTCTATTCTGGCTCCCAATAACACAACAAGACCACATTTTAAGACTCCTGTGGAGCCTACAGCCCTGTGGTGGAGAGTCCTGTTTTACCCCCAGCTAACAAACGGACATCATTGTGAGGTTGGCTCTAAAAGGGCCTATGCCACAAGTGGCTGGACCAGTTTGCCACAACAAAAGACAGAAAAGCTGGTATACACAGAGATAGCCTGACTTCATTCTCTGCTCAGGTTGCCATTATTCCACTTTATATTTGCATAGTAAACAGTGTTGGTGTACTTTGATTATCACATACAAAACCTCTGATTCAGCTTTAAACAATCAGAAGACAAATGACCCATCAGATAACACTTCAGAGATATAGTTTTGCAACAATAGGAGCAGGTGTGGTCTGAACCAATGACATTATCAAAGAAGTCATACCAAGAAAGAAAATATTTTTTCCTTGTAAACTGTTTTGTTACAGCTGGAAGTGTTGGAGTCTGCTCAGCAACATTATAGAAATCTTTTACTCCAGCCATCATATATATATATCAACTGTATGTAGATCATTTAATTCTCATGTTTGTGACTTCCTTAAGCAACTGAAACAGCTGAATTTTTTTTTAATCTAGGGGAGGCAGAACAAGCTGTGGCACAACCTTATCACCTTATCACCTATCATCACCTCATGAAGTTGTTATGGGGATGTGGTAGCAAACAAAAAAGAGTGAAACTATGAAACTGTTTGAATGTATGAAGGTATTGTGTTGTAGTGATGGGCAAAGCAGTTCTTTAAATGTTACTGAATCACTAGAATCAGTTCATTAAAAAAGATTTGCTCACCGAATCGTCCAGTGCTTGGCGGGAGGAGCCCTGACTGTGTACTGTGTAGTCCGACTCACTGAACTGATACACGGCTGAGCTGCTGCTGCGTCTGCCCTGCACTGGTGAGTCTCATTACTGGCCAACCTAACATTTTAAGTTTGTTTATCTGGAAACTAAGTCTGTTAAACAATGGGGAGGTGTGTGATTATGTTCATGTGGCTTGACATTAGCCGTTAGCTTGGAGAAAACGGTCCCTATGAAAGTGTATCGCTGAGAAGAAATTATTTGAATCACTCAGGGATCGGGGTTACGTGGTTCACCGAGTGATTCGTTCACCGAGTGATTCGTCACGCGGTAGGCAGACCCTCCCTGCACCCTGGCTGCCTCGCGAGTGAATCATCTTTCGCACGGACCGAATCGGCAGTTCCACTCCCGGCCTGCACGTTCGCTGCTGAGCTCAACTGACCTGAGAAATAAACGAATCAGTTCCGGAAGTGATTCAGTTCAGAACATCCACTCAACATTCGTTCGTGAACGACACAACACTATTGTGTTGATGTTGAGGTATAAAGACATGATTTTCACAAGGTACAAGAATGAAGAAGGTGTTTGACTGTCAGCAGGTGTTTACTCTTTATTTATTTATTTATTGCCATCAGTTTTGTGCATGTGTGAGTATGTATATATACATAGTTTGTGTATATATTCATAATTTGACAAAGCAAAACACATCTGTCATGACTGAATAAGGATATAAAGATGAGATTATTTTTTTGAGTAAAAT